TATATATATATACATGCACGTTTATTCCTGCACAACATCCTGGGAATGGCTCGTATCGGCCTTGATTCATTCTTAGTTTGATCAAATTGAAATTTGTCCGGATTTTGGCGACGCACCCTGTATAATATAATAATGACAGTCATATTTGTAATAGAGAATTTTATTTTTATATTATTCCAAAATTTCTTACAGTAGTCTTGTATAACAAATTTACATTATTCTTATCTTTATTTAAGTATTCTTGTATTACAAAATAATCAGAATTACTCGATTTTACTATAGAGATAACGCTATAAAGATAACGCTATACTTATTAATTGATTTATATTTCAAAGTTTTGAATAATCCTACTTTTTCTTGTCCAGTTTAAGATTTGATTCCCTTCTTTCTTTGTTTATAGATAAACTTTGTTTTCAGTCCTGTAGAGGATTTTGTTAATTGGTTTTCGCATTGCACTCGGTCCATTTGATTATCAGTGTTATCATGCGATTTTCCCTAAACAAATAGCAAAGTATTTCGTGTTGCACAAACAGATTTAAAAATATTACTTTAATTGTTCACTTTAATTGTTTAACTGTTTCTCTTTAAATTAACAAAAATATTTCTTTATCAAGAAAACGAATTTTTCTAATCAAAGATATTATTTGTATATAACTTAATTTATATTTTCTGATATTTTAAATTTCTTAATCATTTAAAAAAAATAAATAATTCATTATATATACCACGGTTTGTACATTATTGCAGGTTGGATTGAATAGTCCTACTTTTTTAGCTTCAAATTCAATTCTTTGTCCTCTCTTTGTTTTCCTTTTAAAGGATTTTGGTAATTGTTCATTTTTTTGGTAGTGTACTTGATCCACTTGATTATTTTTGGCATCTTTGATATTTCAAATTCTCCTTTAAAAAAAAAAGCAGTCTATAATATATAACTTAATTTGTAGTTTTTGATGATTCGAATTTATTTATTTATTAAAAAACAAATAATTCATTTTATATACCACAGTGTGTGCATTACTGCTGTTTGGTTCAAATAATCCTCTTTTATTTAATGTAAAATTTGATCCTTTGTTCTCTCTTAGTTTGTAGATAGGACTTTGTCTTTAATTCTATAATAATTTTTGTTAATTGTAGAGTTTGACATTGTAATTTATCTAATTGATTATCGCTGTTATTGATACATTTAATATTTCATGTGATTTCTTCTATAAAAAGAGCACAAAATATTGATTTTGACAAACAGATTAAAAATATACCTTTAATTTCAAATGTTTATTAAAACCTACAAACCTTAAAAGTTTAATTTACTAATTTTATAGGTAGTTTCGATGAGTAATTTTCTTTTATTATCAAATAAACAACGAATTGTTCTAATGGTATATTATTCGTGACACTTCAGTTTCAATTAGTCAGAAAAGTTTCTTTATCAATGTCGTCCTGTAATACAAGAAAATAATAAATATAAAAAATGCAGAAAATTAAGATTAGTAGACAATTTAACTAAATATAACCTTAATTATTTTTAACCGTATTTACAATTATTTATATCGTATAGATCACAATAATACATAGTCAATACATTTGAAAAAACATATTTCAAATCAACAAAAAATATATTGAACCATTTATCATATTAGAATGCGTACTTTTTTTTAATTGATTAGGTAGAATCGTTATCGTATAACAATGAAATGGATAAGACCGTCTAACCGACAACACAGTCTGTTTATTGTTGATTAGATAAAGATAGGTTGGATACAATCTGCTCAATTGTTTTACTTTCTATCTTGCCAAATAACAGATTCTTTCTTTAAAAAGAATGCTTATTCTAATATGATATGTAGTGTAATGACAAAATCAGAATCATTGTCACAATACATGAATAAGACTCAACACATAAATATGTTGTGATTTTAATAAAAATATACAATTGTACTTATATTTTTAATATATTTTTAATTTTTATAATTGTACTTATATTCAATAAATCAATTATACTATTTTGATAAGTTTTACTCACTCATTGTTGTTCTACATTCGTGATCGTCACTCATTGTCACGTATTATAAACTTCAGGATTCTGGCAATTCAACAACTTTACAAGACTAAAAATCATGCTTTTTATGATCTTCTTCTTTGCTTAAATGGCGCTTACTTCTTTACGGGAGGATCATAATCCAGTCTAAGATAGATTTGTACCAAGATACTGAGATAAATGTGGTGTGGAACACGGATTCAAAAAATAACTTTTAGTTCGCAACAGCAATCGTTGTGGCCCTCCACGATGTTCGTTGCACGACGGTAAGTTGCAAACTCTGTGCTGTTTACAAAGATAACACGACAATAAATATGTACGTATCGACTTGTACCGGCTAAATCTCTTTCACAGCAGTGATAAAAGATTTGACCGGCAAGCACCGAGAGTGGGAGATACACACAAGCGAGAACCGCCGTCCGTGACGTCACGCACACGGACGGCGGTTCGCTTGTGTGCGTGCTCTCACAAGGGGAGACTACGACGATAGAACAATCGATTTGGACGAAACTTATAAGATCGATAGATGATTATGTGGAGTATTGCAGGGTAAAGTAATAAGACGCACTACTCAAGCATTCGCAAAAATCGAATTTGAAAATTTTAATGTACCTTATGAGGATATTAAATAGGACGTTTAATCGAAGGATGCGTGGTGTAGCGATAGCGTACTAGGTTAGTGATGTCGACGCTGCTGGTTCGAGTCTTGATACATTTTTTTTTTTTTTTTTTTTAAATGTTACAATATAATCTAAATGTAAGTATTACGTTTTTTATTTATTTATTGCATGTTATAAAAGTGCATTTTTTGCATAAAAAATCCGTAATATAAAAAATACGGTAAAAATAATTAGATTGTTATGTTACGTCCTGGCCCACGGTTACGGTCGAGCTATGGTGGAGTAACAGAGAGCTGTCGTTTCTTTCCTTCTCCGCACAGCAAGTCGGCGATCCTGCTGCGGCAGAGTCGAGCGAGTTTTCTTATGTTCGTCGACAGGTCAACGGCGTACGCCGATCTTACTCTGTCTAGCGAACACTCGCTCGTTGGTCTCCTTTTGAGTCTGGAGAATTAACTCCACGGACTAAGGACGAGACCGTGCGATCGATTGAGGATGTGGAATGATGAGAGGTCGTCTTATTCAAACGGAAAAAATTAGGCTGCGTATAATATTAATTTATTCATTTAATGGTATTACAATTTTTAGGTGCGTGTTCGTGTGTATGAATGTGATATCGTGAATTCTACATTGAAACGGAGGGTCATCGCTCGGAGGCTAGAGAGGGGAATATGTATATATGTGTGTATGCGTGACGCGATGTGTGTGCGAGGGGTCTCCGGCGGGGTTTTACAGGTGTAACTGTGTCGGGTGCATGTTTAAGACGCCGATTCGTGGTATAGAAATCATTCAAGGTCTATTTCTATTATTTCATGGATTTTTGCGGAACTTGGAGGGAATATTGAATAAAAATGGTGGACGGGAACTAAGCGGATGTCATCTATATAGGGAAATTTGACAGGGACGAGTTTTCTGGCTGGAGTGGTGGATATCAGGCGGAAGATTTCGGAAGGATCTGTTGTTAGAGGGTCAATTATAAAGGGGATTCTTTCCGGATTTGCTTTTTTATAGGTGGAGGCTAATCGGAGGAAGTGTTGTAATTTAGGATCAAGCGGAGGGGTGGTTGATCGTGTCGAGTCGGAGGATTCATCATCTGCGGGTTCATCTCTGGATGTAGATGGTTCAGGGGAAGGAGAGCGAGGGGGAGGTGGAGGAGTCGGCGCGGATTGCAGATCCGCGGGATTTTCTGCGGGAGGATCGGAGGTTACAGGTGAATAGGAGGGAGTTTCACACCACAAATCGTTGTGTGTATGTGTGTCTGTGTGTGTGCGTGGCGAATGCGTCGGTGAGTGTGAGTGCGCGTGCAATTTATTTGTATGTATATCGGTGGGGTTTCTTATTCTATTGTCGCTGCCGGAATCGTCTCTTAATGTCGGAGGGGAGATGGCGTCAATGGGCCTGGTCGGCTCCGCTTTGTTTTGCGCGAGCGCTGCCGCTCGCAAAGCAATTTTTGGCTTTGTCGGTGCCGGCGGTTGGAACGCGAACGGCGGGGTTCCACTTAAACGGGAGGTTCTCTTAGCAAGTTATTATTTATAGTAAAAATGTGGATGAGGTTAACATTCGGAACTGATTTCTCATTCTGCCGACATCATACTTGATCAAAGAAGAGTTGTCAAAAAAAGGAAAAGGGGAAAGGGCTAACTCTCTCTCTCTCTGCCGGTTGCTATTCACGACTAGAGTCGCGAACTGCCCTCCCGGCGAGGGTGGTTGAACGAGGGATTGACTCCTCGGCCGGTTGCTATTCACGACTAGAGTCGCGAACTGCCCTCCCGGCGAGGGTGGTCAAACGAGGAATTGACTCCTCGGCCGGTTGCTATTCACGACTGGAGTCGCGAACTGCCCTCCCGGCGAGGGTGGTCAGACGAGGAATTGACTCCTCGGCCGGTTGCTATTCACGACTGGAGTCGCGAACTGCCCTCCCGGCGAGGGTAGTCAGACGAGGAATTGACTCCTCGGCCGGTTGCTATTCACGACTGGAGTCGCGAACTGCCCTCCCGGCGAGGGTGGTCAGACGAGGAATTGACTTCTCGGCCGGTTGCTATTCACGACTGGAGTCGCGAACTGCCTTCTCGGCGAGAGTAGTCAAGCAAGGAGTTAGTCGCGGAGAAACAAAATAATATACTCTTGCAATGTTGTTAGGCGATTATGCGTCTCTGATAGGTTCCGAGTATTAATCTCAAGTTGGATTTTTAAGTAGTGGAACTCCTGATTAAAATTTGTGGGTGGACTTACTACTTGCTGCTACTGGTGGTGTCGATTCTCGATTGAGGCCGGTGCGGCACTGTAATAGCTCTGGGTTGCAGGTCGGCGGTGTCGATGCCTCTGGGATCCGCTCTCCGCACCCACTGGCACTCACTGAGATTTGCGGCTCTTTTCAGATACGCGGCGTGGTTCTTTTTGAGTTTCCGATTCCGAGAGCCCTGGCTTATATACTGTTTTGAGTAAGCAAGGACTCTCCCAATCGGGAACTCAGTTGAGCTTTGCTGGTTCCTATTTGTTAATTAGTCGGTCGGGCGACTTGCGAGATCGCCAATCGGCGACGATCTCTCGCTTCGGTCGCCTCGTCCGATTTTTCGGGGAAGGAAAAAGGGAGAGTGTTGTCTTTTCGATCACGCCGCATAGACCCCTTGTTGTTTGTTTGTAATAAAAATGCCGAAGTTCCTATTTGCGCCGGCCGCTCTAATTTTTATGACCGGCGTTTTCATGACCCGGAGATATCCGGGTTTGTTTGGAAAGCTGCTCGAATAGTTATCTAAAATTTCGTGTTATTGCTAGGCGCAGTTTATCTTTCCGGGCGCTGATATAATTTTCGTTTGCTCTCCTATTGTCTGGAGTTTTAAGTTTCCAAACGATAGGAGACCCGTTCGAGTTATTTATTATCAAAAAAAAAAGGGTTTGCTATGCGCTGGCGCGTCGCGTCGCAGGAAAAAGGGGACCGTGGAGTCTCCAGGACGTAACAGTTACCAATTTGTGTTTTGTTTGTAAAAAACGGGTAAATAATTGTACGCAACATGTAAAAATATATGCATCTTTTAAAGCACACACATTTTTTTGTAATATGTGTTGAACGTTATACCTTTGAAAGAAAATATTATATCCTTGAAAAGTAGAAAACAGACAATGAGTAAACACAAGAAAAGTTCCGTTACATTGTGAGAAACAAGATTTCTGATGATATTTTTGATGCCTTACACTAATGTACATTTACAAAACAGCTTAAAAAATAGACACGAGACATAACTAGCGTATGAGTTTCTTCTTATACATTATTATATTACGGTTAGAATGCGTCAATATGCAAAAATTAAAAATAGAAAAGATAAACAAATTAGTATGGAAAAAAGAAAGAGGCAAAATTGTATAATACATAAAAAAAACTGTAAAAATAGTATAACTTTGTAACAATAGTATAATGCATAAAATTAATTATTAAATACATATATTTTACTTTTAACAATTATTGATGTGTTTTTATTCTAAATGTCTCCAAAATGATTTTTTCATGTTTTTTAACATTGATTGTAATATCTATTTATGTAGTAATCATCTTAACTGCGTTCCGTTTCATGTATATGCGCGCATTTATCTATATACATTATGTATACTACAGATCATTCACACATGAAACGGAACGCATCCTTACACGTAGTAGTAATACATATCACCACAGTGTGTGAATAGTGAGTACTACTACATACATATAATCTCACCGATAGTACGCGTGTTTCACTAAAACACCTATCGGACGATATTTGAAGTTCCTACTTAAGATCACAGGAGTGGGGATAAAGTCGGACCACCTTACTATCTTACACCGTGGTGCTGGCCGGTCAAATCTTTCATCACTGTTTTACAATGCGCATGCGTACTTATTGACGTTATACGTTAGTAATGCGTGCTCATCGTAAAACACTCTGCGGCGCAAAAAATGCGACGATAAACTAATTGTCGAATATTATCAATTTATGTATATGTACAAACATACATACACACATATATATATATATATATATATGTATATATAAATTGTTGATAATACTTGAAAATTAGTTTTTCCTCGCATTTTTCGCGGCGCAGAATGTTTTATGGTGAGCACGCATCAATAGCGTGCGGCAATTGTTTGTTTTGTCAGTGCAAGACTGCGCACTTCGAATTGTGCAACTGCCGGAAATATGTGTGTGAAGTTGGCACCGCACTTTTTGAATTTGGTATTTTTTAAACTTACCTTTTCAAAAAAAGGTAAAAACAGGCGCCAAGTACACGCACAACACGTATTGTATTTAAAATAAATTACTTTTTTATTTATACTCCAAAAACTTCTTTCTCTATAAAACCTGTTTTACAACATTTATATACTACAAAACATTCTTTCTCTAAAAACCCGTNAGCAGTTACATTATCGACACGACGTAGTTGTGGACAACCGATTGCTACTAGTTAGTTCGCAAGGCGCTCGTTGGCGCTACGAGCAACCGCCCCGCTTGCCCCCCGATCCCCGCGCCTATTCCGCGATTCAGTGACGCGTTGTGTACATAGCTATACTTGGTACTTGTTTTGTTACGCGTTCTCCACGTGTATAATCGCGTTGTAACTGCAACCAAACACGAAAGTTTATGAAGAAGTTCATAGACGATATTTTTGTGATGTCTTACACTAATT